GCAGGCAGATCTCTTAAATTCAAGGCTAGTCTGGTCTACAGATAGAATTCCAGGGCAGCCTCCAAAGCTGCAAAGAAATCCTGTTTTGAGAAACAAACAAACAGAAACTTTTAAAATATATTTTAGGGGGGCTAGAGAGATGGCTCAAAGATAAAGAGCATTAGCTGCTCTTCCAGAGGTCTTGAGTTCAATTCCCAGCAACCACATGGTGGCTCATAACTATAATGAGATCTAGTGCTCTCTTCTGGCCTGCAGGCATACATGCAGACAGAAAACTGTATACATAATAAATCTTTTAAAAAATAAGCTGGGTGGTGGTGCATGCCTTTAATCTCAGCACTCGTGAGGTAGAGACAGGATGATTTCTGTGAGTTTGAGGCTAGTCTAGTCTGCAGAGCTAACTCTATGACAGGCTCCAAAGCTACAGAGAAACCCTGTCACTAAACAATAAAAAACTATATGTGTGTGCGTGTGTGTATACACACACATATATTAATTATATATTTTAAGAAAAATAAATACTAAGATGAATTAAATATATTATAAAAATCAATATTTACATAAAGCATACATTTTCATTCACATCTTCATATATACTCACAAAATAGACGGGTCAATCCTGTAATCAGCTCCGAAAATAAAAAATTGAGGTGTAGAAACAGGATACCTCCTTCCATTACACAATAAAATTGTCTCACTGTTTAGCTCTGGCGGTCTGCAACCCTGTAGTCCAAGCTGGCTTCCAGCTTCCAGAGATCCATCTACCTCTGCCTCCTGAGTGCTGGCTTGAAAGGCATGTGCCACCATGCCTGGCTTCTTAATACATTTTTACAACAAATTCTTTTTTTTCCTACACAAAGGATTTTTGTAGTCACTGAGTACCTTATATTAAATAGTTGAAGAAAGATTTGAGAAATGAAAAAAACTTTAGATTAGGGTACCATGTAGTGGACTAGAGCTCTAGGTCTTCTGCCTCAGATTCCCTATGTCTTAGATAGGGACTCTATTGCTGTGACCAGACATTATGACCACAGCAACTCTTTTTTTAAAATAATTTATTTAACTTTATTTTATGTGCATTGGTGTGAAGGTATCAGATCCCTCCCCATTGGAGTTTCAGACAGTTGTGAACTACCATGTGGGTGCTGGGAATCTAACCCAGGCCCTCTGGAGGAGCAGCCAGTGCACTTAACCACTGAGCCATCTCTCCAGCCCCCCCCAAAGCAACTCTTATAGAGGAAAAACATTTAATTGGGGTGGCTTACATTTTCAGAGGATTAGTTCATTAACATCATGGTGTGACATGGTGGCATGCAGGCAGACATGGTGCTGGAGAAGTAGCCAACTGTCCTACATCTTGGCTTGCAGGCAATAGAAAGAGGTCTAAGGAGACCTCAAAGTCCACCCCCACAGTGACACACTTCCTCCAACAGGGCCACACCTACTTCAACAAAGCTATACCCCCTAATAGTGCTACTCACTACAGGTTTATTGGGGTCAATTACATTCAAACTACCACAGGTGTCATGGAGCCAGTGGTGGTCTAGAGCTCTAGATCCCCCTGCCTCAGCCTCCATAGTACTGAGATCATAGATACGTATACCACCTACCAGAAGGCCTGCATGGTTTTGGGTTTAGGGGAGAGTTTTTTTTTTTTTTGGTTTGGTGGTGGGGTGTTGTTTGCTTTATTCTTTGTTTTGAAACAAGGTGTAGCTTTGGCTGGCCTAGAACTCACAAAGATACACCTCCTAAGGCCTCCCAAGTCCTGGGACTAAAGGTGTGTACCACCATTCTCTGCTTAAGATTTTTTTTTGTGTGTGTGCATCGGTGTTTTGCCTGTGTATATATCTGCATGAGGGTGTCAGGTCTCCTGGAACTGTAGTTACAGACAGTTGTGAGCTGCCATGTGGGTGCTGGGAATCTTTAAAATCTATACCAGCTGGGCGTTGGTGGCACATGCCTTTAATTCCAGCACTCAGGAGGCAGAGGCAGGCGGATCTCTGTGAGTTTGAGGCCAGCCAGGTCTACAGATCGAGTTCCAGGACAATCTCCTCCAAAGCAATACAGAGAAACTCTGTCTCGAAAAACAAAAAACAAATAAGATATACACCAGAGTCCTTCCTTCTGTTCTGAGGAATAAACCCAAGGCCTCAGGCATGCAAGGCAGGTGCTCAGCTAGTAAGCTAGTCCCCAATCCAAAGATTCAGCGTTGTTCTGAGTTTTAAAATAGGATCTCAAGTGACTGAGGTTGGTCTCAAACTGGTTTGTGAATGAGGACAGTCTTGAATTTAAACTTTTTCTAGTAGGATTACAGGTATGGGCCACCACACTGTGTCGTATTCAAAATACTAGCCAGCATTATACCACTGAGCTACACCCCAGCCCTTCAGAGCACAGCTTTCATTATTTTGTTTGAGACAGGATCTCATTATGTAGCTCTTGTTGGTCTGTAACTGGCTATGTAGACCATGGTTGGTCTTGAACCTCAACGATTCACCTGCTTCTGTCTCCCTAGTACTGAGATTAAGGCATACACTACTATGCACAGCCTTGTTTTTTGAGACAGGGTCTCATGTACCCCAGCCCAATCTCAAACTCAATAGATAGTTGAGGATGACCTTGAACTTCTAATCCTCCTGCCTCTATGTCCTGAGTACTGGGATTACAGGTATGTGCTACCATAGCAAGTTTCATAAAGTGCTAAGGATGGAACACAGAGCTTTATGCATGTCAGGCAAACACTCCATCCCTAGCCCAGAACATGACTTTTGTTATGGTAGTATAGACTTAATACCTCTAGTCATTTCTCCCCAAAATGACTTTTTTTTTTTTTTGGTTTATTGAGACAGGGTTTCTCTGTGGCTTTGGAGGCTGTCTTGGCACTAGCTCTTGTAGACCAGGCTGGCCTCGAACTCACAGAGATCCGCCTGCCTCTGCCTCCCAAGTGCTGGGATTAAAGGCGTGTGCCACCAACGCCCGGCCCCAAAATGACTCTTTAATTAATAATATTCATTATATTTGAAGTATATAAAATACCCCCTAAACACATACAATTGCTTGCTAAATGATACAACTCGGGAATGTTTTAAGTCTTTTTTAGCTCAGTCTGTCTTTCCCAGTCTCTGGAGAGGAACTGCAAGTGACTGCAAGATAGAATTGACTGTGTTTAAGGTGAGATTTTCCTATTATAGTTTTTGCAGTTATACTTGATTTGCTGCAGCTTGGAGCTCATATTCTGATTTTTCCTTCCTTTTAGATCTGCTTTTGTTGCCCTAGTTGTTTTATTGGTGAGTTGCATCTCCTTAGATTTCCATTTCTTTCTCATATAAACAAATATGTTAGAGGACAGGGTTGGGTATGTGTCACATGTAGGCTGGGGGTGTTTCACAGTTGCCTAGCATATAGGAGTTCCTAGGTTTGAATCCAAAAAGAACCAGCCATTTTTTGTTTTTCGAGACAGGGTTTCTCTGTGTAACTAGCTCTGTAGACTAGGCTGGCTTGGAACAGAGATCCATCTGCCTCTGCCTCCTGAGTGCTGGGATTAAAGGTGTGTGCCACCACTGCCAGACAGAACCAGCAATTCTTATAAACATGCTGTCTTCCAGATGCCAAGGGACAGTCATGAGTTGTCTACTGAGTCTACAATGATACTGAAAGGAAATGGCAAGCATTAGTATCTGTTTTATTCAAGAGAACTGAGGCTAAGGCAGGAGGTTAAAAACACAAAACTGGTAGGCAGTCCTTGAAAAGCAGCTGAAACCGGGCCTTCGTGGTGCACACCTTTAATTCCAGCACTCGAGAGGCAGAGGCAGGCAGATATCTGTGAGTTTGAGACCAGCCTAGTCTATAGAGCTCTTTCCAGGACAACCTCCAAAGCCACAAAGAAACCCTGTCTCGAAAAACAAACAAACAAACAAAAAAAAAAAAAGAAAGAAAAGAAAAGCTGCTGAAGCAGCCTTAGCAGAAGCTGAGGAGAGGTGGTTTGTACCCTTGAAGAAGCTACACAAAGATCTGACCTGCTAGGAGGGTCTGGATACAGATAAGTACTTGCACAAGTAGCCTTTGGGGACATGGCTGAAACAGGTATTTCTCAGTTATGATCTGTGGCAGGGCAGCACTTCTTTTAGAAATGGGAAGTAAGGGTAGCCTAGCTCCAAAGCAATGCTAAGACTGTAGAAAGAACAGGTGGCTCTCAGATGCTGGCCCAGCTGCTCCAACAGCAAAAGTCAATCCACTAGTTAAGAGAGGCTAATCTGTAGAAAAGGCCAAATACCAGGAGATAGTAGCAGAGAGGCACTGGGCCACAGAGAGCTGAAGTCTCATAATCTCAAGGAAATGGTCAACTGCATCCCATGTAATTTATGAGTTTCATGTATGTCTTAGGGTTTTCATTGCTGTGAAGAGATAAGGTGGCCAAGGCAACTCTTAGAAAAGAAAGCATTTAATTGGGAGTTTGTTTACAGTTTCAGAGTTACTTCATTATTATCTTGATGGGGAACATGGCCATGGTGGCAAGCACATGGTACTGGAGAAGTAATTGAGAGCTACATAATGATTGGCAGGCTGAGAGAGGGACTCTAGGCCTGATAAGGGCTTTTGAAACCTCAAAACCCAGCCGGGCGTTGGTGGCGCACGCCTTTAATCCCAGCACTCGGGAGGCAGAGGCAGGCGGATCTCTGTGAGTTCGAGGCCAGCCTGGTCTACAAAGTGAGTTCCAGGACAGCCTCCAAAGCCACAGAGAAACTTTGTCTCGAAAAACAAACAAAACAAAGAAACTTCAAAACCCACTCCTAGTGATACAAGTCCTTCAACAAACCTACCCTCCTAATCCTTCCCAGACAGTTTACCAAGTGGGATGAAGCATGCAAATATGAGTCCTTGGGGACCAATCTTATTCAAACCACCACAATGTGTCATCCATGTTCAAAGATACAGGGTATTTTTCTTCCCAATCCTTTTAGATTCTTTTTCCAGATGCAAAAGAAAATTACCCATCATTCTTTTAGGTCACAATCATCCAACATCCAGTTTTTATTCCTAGTATTAATGCCTTTGAATGATACTCACATGGCTCAGTTCACCTCCAAAAAGAGCTTGTCTGGTAGAAAGAGAGAAAAGGGAGACATTCACTAACAAATCTAAATAACACTTGTCTAAGTGCACCAGTTAGTAAAAGAGAGTAGGCATACAGGCCTGTCCGATGATGGACAGAGAAGAAAGAGACAGTACAGAATGATGGAAAGAAGGACGGCAGGTAAGAGAACAAAATGGAGACCAGGTACAAGGTATGGGGAGCAAAGAGACTGGGACTGAAGAGTGCAGCTGTCTAGAAAGGCTTGTACATCATGTGAACCCTCTTCAATTTGCTTAAATACAAAACATCTTTACTCAACACTGGTTTTGTTTGTTTTGTTTTCAGATAGGGTCTCATGTAACCTAGGCTGGCTCTATACATAGGCACTACAACCCTGAACTTCTGATCTTTCTGCTTCTAATCCTGCTGGGATTATAGTGTGCAATATCTTGCCCTATTCTATGAAGTGCTAGGATGGAACCTTCAACTTTGTGCTTACTAGGCAAATACTCTGCCAACAATTCTCAAACTATCCTTAAATTTAGATGCCAGACATAGAATGCCTACTAGATGGCTAAGTGGGTAAAAATGTTTACTGTCAAGCTTGATAACCTGAGTTCCATACCTGGGACTTTAGTTTTTTATTTCTGAGACAGAGTTTCTCTGTAGCTTTGGAGCCTGTCCTGGAACTCACTCAGTAGACCAGACTGGCCTTGAACTCAGAGATCCACCTGCCTCTGCCTCCTGAGTGGTGGGATCAAAGGCATGCACCACCCCATCTGGCTGAGAGCAGACTCTTTAAGCTATTCTTTGACCTACACACATACGCAAGCGTATACTTACACATACACTCATGACATGCAAGACCTCTTCCCCAACAAGAGGAAAGAAAAATAAAAAGCTGAGTGTGATGGTGCATGCCTTTAATCCAGCATTCAAGAGGTCTACAGAGTCAGATCTCTAGGAGTTCCAGGCTAGCCTAGTCTACATAATGAGGTCTAGGCCAGCCAAGGCTGCATAGTGAGATCCTGTCTCAAAATCAAACAAACAAAAAAACAGAAGGAGGAGGAGGAGGAAGAGGGGGAGGAAGAGGAGGAAAAGCATAGGAAATACATGCTTGTGACCACTGAGAAGGCACAACAGGTAAAGATGACTAGTGTCAAGCCTGTCAACCTGAGTTCCATCTGTGTGACCCACATGGGGAAGAAGAAAATCTTCTTTCACAGGTTGTCCTCTTGTCTCCATATGCATGCTTTGAAATAGCCAAATAAACTGGTGGTGCACGCCTTTAATCCCAGCATTTGGGAGACAGCGGCAGCAGATCTATGTAGTTCTAGGCCAGCCTGGTCTACACAGCGAGTTCTAGGACAGCCTCTAAAACAATACAGAGAAACCCTGTCTCAAAAAACAAAAACAAACAAACAAACAAAAAGCACATGCTTATTATCCTAGTTTTTTAGGAAGCTGAGACAGAAAGATGTTTTGAACCCAAGACTTTGGGGCTAATCTTAGTTATATAGTGACACTTTATGACAGAGAGAGATCATGAACAGTAGCTATTATGTGGCAGACACTGCACTTTAAGAGGTGATTCATTTCACAACTGAGACCTAGAAGGACTCATTAGGAAGGAGTATCAGAAACCTACAGGATGGCCATTCTGTTTCTGAGCTGTTGAGCCACTGAAGATCATGTTGTCTCCTGAGTAATCTTCAAGGCTACCTTTTCTGTTCTGGATCAGATCTACTGTTTTGGGAACAGCCTTGTTTCCTCTTTAAAATTAAAGAATAAATTAGAAATAGCTTAATACAGTTAGAAACAAAGCTTTTATTTCATCCTTAACCTCTTCATTTCCCCAAATACACACAAAAAAGTGGGTGGCCTTGGTATTTTTAAGATTTCCTTTAAAAATAGCTTTAAAAATTCTCTGGATGCCTGTGTCTTGGGAGGTGGTATGTATACATGAGTGCAGTTACTGGTAAAGGCCAAAAGGGGGTGTCAAGATACCCTGAAGCTGTAGTTACAGGCTGTTATGAGTGCTGGGAACCAAACTGATATTCTCTGCAAGAGCAGCACATAGTCTTATCAGCATTTACTGGTATTACTTCTGAGAAAACAAAACTATGTGGTGGTACACATATGTTATCCCAACACTTCAGAGGCCAGCTTGATTTACAGGAGTTCCAGGTCAGCCAGGGCTCTGTTACACAGAGAAACTCTTGTCTCAGAAAACAAACAAGCAAGCAAAGACAGACAGACATTGGAGCTGGCAAGACAGCTCAGTTGATAAAGTACTCACCTATGCTTGACTCCCACAACCTATATAAGAAGGGAAGGGTGTTCAAAGTGAATGCTTGTTTATTTATTTATTTAAGACAGGCTTTCTCTGTCACAGCTCTGGCTGTCCTGAAACTTCCTTTGTAGACTAGGTTGGCTTCAGACTCACAGAGATTCACCTGCCTATAGAGTGCTGGGATTAACGTCAAGTGCCACCATTGATGGACGAAGCATATCCTCGGGTTCCCAGGCTAGCCAGCTTAGTCTACTTGGGAATTCCAGATCAGTGGGAGACTTTGTCTGTAAAAGAAGAAGAAAGAGACAAGGTAGATGCTGCCTGAGGAATGACACTCAAGATTGTCCTCTATATATACCTTGCCACTATACACCATACATAGGCTCACAGGTAATTGTGTGTGTGGGTGTACATATTTTCTATGAGCAAATGCAAACACAGATACTGGCACACGTGTGCATAAAAAGCAGAAATGAATTTACAAATTAAGACACCAGGTCATTCTAGATGAACTATTTTCTCAAAGCTTCTAGATTTTTTTCCCTTCCTTCTTATAAACCACTTATCTCCTCTCCCTTTAGCTGAAGTTGAAGCTACACAGTTCAAAGGTCTAGTGCCCTTCTTGGGGAATTGCCCCAGCTCTAGTCTTTCTACAATGGTTTTTTAAAGCCAAAACAATTGTCCTCATAGATCTGCCCCTACCCATCGAGTCACTATGACTGGGGGGGATATGACTGGCTATTTGCCTACCTCTTATTGCCTATCTGCCTATCTCTATCTGTACATCTGCTTTGGTACATTTACCAAGCCAACCTGTAGAGACATCATTAGGTGTATTTGTTTAAATAGTTAATTCCCCTATTGCAGAGTAGTCAACAAATGATTTTCAACTGAAAGAGTTGGGATATAAGCCGGGCGTTGGTGGCGCACGCCTTTAATCCCAGCACTCGGGAGGCAGAGGCAGGCGGATCTCTGTGAGTTCGAGGCCAGCCTGGTCTACAGAGTGAGTTCAGGGACAGCCTCCAAAGCCACAGAGAAACCCTGTCTCGAAAAACCAAAAAAAAAAAAAAAAAAAAAAAAGAGTTGGGATATAATTTGGCAAACCTTGTTCTATTTGTAGTTCTGTTCAAAATAAATACTATGAATTGAAATTTTTTTTTTTTGGTTTTTTCGAGACAAGGTTTCTCTGTGGCTTTGGAAGCTGTCCTGGAACTCACTCTGTAGACCAGGCTGGCCTCGAACTCACAGAGATCCGCCTGCCTCTGCCTCCCGAGTGCTGGGATTAAAGGCGTGCGCCACCAACGCCCGGCTTGAATTGAATTTATTCTGGAGCCTTCCTTGTTTTTTTTTTTTTTCCCCGAGACAGGGTTTCTCTGTATTGTTTTGGAGCCTGTCCTGGAACTCACTCTGTAGACCAGGCTTGGTCTCAAACTCACAGAGATCCACCTGCCTCTGCCTCCTGAGTGCTGGGATTAAAGGCGTGTGCCACCGCTGACCGGCTTTCCTTGGTTTTCCTACAGTACACATGAATTAAACTTGCAAAAGGTCCCTTACAATGGGAAGACAAAGTTGAGTTACATCTAGAGATCCTAACCTCCTCTGAGGCAGGATCTTGCTATATACAGTCCATGTTAGTCTTGAAATCATTATGCAGCTCAGACTGAAGATCCTTCTGCATCACTCACCTCCCAGCACTGGAATTACAGGTTGTATGTACCATGTGGGGCCTTTCTTTCTTCCTTTTTTCCCTCTAAGTATTAAGTATTTCTGGATAGAGAGAACTAAACAAAGGGAATAGCAATGAGACCCAACACTCAATTAGTCTGATAGAAGCAAAATTTCCTTTAAAACAAGCGGCTGCCGGGCATTGGTGGTGCATGCGTTTAATCCTAGCACTTGGGAGGCAGAGGCGGGCAGATCTCTGTGAGTTTGAGACCAGCCTGGTCTACAGAGCAGGTTCCAGGACAGGCTCCAAAACAACACAGAGAAGCCCTGTCTCGAAACACCAAAACAAAACAAAACAAACAAAAAAACAAGTGGCTGAGATTTTTGTTTTGTAGCTTCAGAAAGTCAGATGTCTTTGGGGGCTATACCTGTAATTGAATGTAAAAGACCATTGTCTTTTGTTGAGATAAGGTTGTACTATGTAGCCCAGGTTGGCCTAGAACTCGTTATCTAACCCAGGTTGGCTTTTAACTCATGGGAATCTTTTTGCCTCAACCTCTGTGAGGCACCACACCTAGGTAAGAATAATACTTTTAAACATATTTTATTGTAGCCTAAAGACTGAAAAAGCCTTAAATCTGGTAAAGTTTCAACAATTATCTCTCAGTAGCAATGGCCTAAAAAATTAAGTCTGAAAAGCAATTGGTATCAGAATAAAGAAAGACTTTGCTCCGTAACTGGCTGCAAGATGATGAATCCATACTAACCAATCATTTTTGCTGTGAGAGGTTTCTGTTGGCAGTTGCGAAACGGTGGACCTCTTTCTTCCAGTAATTATGCCTGCGGTTTAATCTTATATTCCAATTGTCTATCTTTAAAACAAGTTTAAAAACACAAAGATGTGAAACAAAGCAGAGAATGCCTGTAAAAATCCTGTGTGCTTTAGCAAAACCTTGTGTTTTATTAAATAATACTTTGGGTTTAAGGAGTGTTTTTACCCCAGTTCAAACTGTGATAGAAAAAGAAAGTATCATTTTTCCAACTGTCGATAACTAACGTCTTCCTAGAAGACCTAGAAGGCTGCTTATGAACGGTTTTTGGTAGATACACACCGTGCTCTTCAATTCCAGACTCATCAGGATCAAGCTGAAGAGTCGGAAACTAAGACTAGGAGAAAAAGATTTGTATGACACCACTCAGCAAGGGGAAGGTGCCAACCTCAAGCACTTGGATGTGTAGCGTCCAGGCCACCGTCCTTTGTGGGATTTACAATTTAAACGGGCCTCAAAGCACGAGATTGGCTGGGGAACTGCCCTGAGCGCAGTTGGGCTGCTCTTATGGCATTGCTCTGTTACCTCTGGCTGGGCTCCGTCGACGTCCGAAGCCTGCTAGCCCGTCGGGCAGCTGTCGAGCCATGGGAGCCCGTTCGTGGGCAGGGCCGGGCAGCTTGGGCCGCCGCTGCCCCATCGCTGACCCTCGCGCGAAGCTGCGCACACAGACTGGAGACATTTTCCAGGCTGGGCCTCCCGTACACGCCGCGGCCCTTGGGTTAGGGGCGGCCCGCGCCCCTCTCAGTGGGGGGCGCCCCGACTCGCCGGGGGCGGGGTCACGTCCCACCCGGGCCGCCGAGGGCACCGGCGTTACGGAAACCTGAGCGTGGCCAACAGCGGGGGCTTCCTGGGCCACCTCCCCAGGCGCCTGTGACCCGCGGTGGGTGCGCTGGCCGCCGCCACCCCCGAGCCGTCGTGGATCCCACTCTCGCGCACAGCACCTGTGGACGCCCTTGTCAAGCGTCTGGAGCTCCCCCGAGGGAGCCGAGCCCAGGACAGACATGCTACTACTCCCGTTTCCTGCCCCTTCGGAGCGGCAAGGAGTGGGTGAGGCGGAACCGGGTCGCTGCACTGAGGAGCCCCCAGTGCTAAGGGCGGCCAGGCCCTGCAGCGGGGGTGCTGGGGCCTACTCCGGGATGGCGAGCAGGTGGGCCTTGGTCCACCGGCCGGCGCGTGAGGGAGGGCGCCCGGCGGGAATACGGTGCTTCTCTGCGCCCCCTCGGTCTGAGCAGGCCCGAGCGCGGCGCCCGGGTCTGGCCCACTCCCCTGGCATGACCCCGGGGCACCCCGCGTTGAGGCGGCCAACGGCTGCCCTGGCCCAGGCCGCCTGGCCCTCAGTCGTCTGACTGACTGGCTGCCTAGGGCAGAGACGCCTGTAGGGGAAGGGGCGATGCTTCCTACTGCTTGTGGGGGGGATGTTGTGTTTTGTGGGGGTCGAGGGTCACAGCCCTCCCTGGAGTGGTGGGGGAGGGCGGCTGGCGCAGCTGGCCGGCGATGGGCGGGGTCACAGGCGAAGTTGTGTGTGTGTGTGTGTGTGTGCGCGCGCGTGCGTGCCCGTCCGCCCGCGTGTGCGTGTGTGCTGAGTGCGAGTGTGGGGGAGGGAGCTCGCGGAGGCGGCTCGCAGCTTGCGCGCAGGCGCAGGCATCCAGCCGTGCTGGAGACCTGGAAGGAGGCGGGCAGGGAGCGGGGGCGGTAGGCCGGCCAGAGGGCTTGCGGGCTGACGCGAGGTGGGGAGGGCGGGGAACCGCGTCGGCGTCGCGGGGCGCGGGCGATTCGAGGCCGACGCATCCGCGCGTGCGCGCGCCGGCGGTGTGTCCGCGTTAGAGGGGAGTGACGCGTGCGCGTTCTCGTGCGTCCCGGAGAGCGGTAAGAAGCGCAGGGAGGCTTGAAGGAGGTGGGGGTGGAGAGACGACGGGTGGGGGGGGGTGGCGAGGGGAGGCGCCTGCGCAGTAAGCCCGGAGGAGCTGTGTGTATGTGAGAATCTGACGGGTTCAAAATGGCGGCGGCTGCTTCAGCGGATCCTCCTGTGTGAGGGAAACAACACCCCTCCCCAGCAGCAGCGGCGGCAGCGGCGGGTCGCAGAGCATCTTTCCAGCTCCTGGGCCTGTCGCAGCTGTTTCTCTCCCGGGCAGGGGGCTCTTCTGGTGGAAGGGCAACGACCGGGGGCCCATCCCCCGGAGTCCCTCCTCTGCGACTGGGGAGTAGCCGGGGGGTGGGGGGATCGTCCCGCAGCGCGGAGCCCCGGCTTAGGGGACGACGCAAAGGCAGCCGGGGGCCCCCAGTCAGAGCACTTCGCTGCTCCCGCCCCCTCCGCCCCCCGGGGCCGGGGCCCGCGTTCCGGGGGGCCGGGCGGCGCGGGGAGCGTCGGCCGGGTGGATCTCAGCTGATCGGCCGCGTCTTCTGGGCTTCGGAAGCGTCTGTGGTCGGCCGGGGGTACCCAGAGGAGGGTGTTCCTCGCGGCCGGGTTGGCCCGGGTCTCGAGTTGGGGCTGCTGACCGCCGGCCCGGGGGAGTCGCCGAGTGGTCTTGCTCTCCTCTCCTAACGCCTCGGACTCCGAGTCCGTAAAACCAGAAGAGGAGGTTTGATTCAGTAACTGTTTCCTCTTTTCCGGGTCGCTCTGACCCTTCTCTGGATACTGGGTTAATACACAGAGAAACCGAAGACGACGTTAGGGATTAAATTTTTTTCTGGTTTTGGATCTTCTCTCTTGGACAAGAACTCAAGAACAAAATTCCCGGTGAGATTTCCCTTCCCCCCTCCCCCGCCCTGGGAAGTTTGGTTCCCTGTCTTATCTAAAGACTTGATGTAAAGTTTTTATTTCTTTGCAAGGGGTGAACCATAGAAACGCCTTTTCCCCGGGGGAGCAGTCGAGATTTGCTGCTTTCCTGTCCAGCCCTGGCGGCACTCGTCCAGGGGGTCGGACTGTGTCCCTCGCGACCGAGGCAGAGGAGGGCAGTGCCAGGGACTGCTCTCGCAAAACTATGTCATCGGGTCCTCTGACAGGATTCCGTTAACGTGGCCGTAATATATTTAAAGAGAGGAAAACATTTGCATTCCCAATGGAAGCCATTATCCAGTAGAAAGAATATTTAGAGAAATGAAAACCCTTGCTTGGTGTTATGGATTGATTGGCTCGCCAACCTGTCTTTATTTAATAGATGTTTCAGTCGTTTGATTTATTATTTATACCCGTCTAGATCAGATGGTGTTTTTGCCGCCGTATTGCAACTCTCAAATTTGTTTCCTAGTTGTACACCTTGTGTTGAGGTGGATGGTACTACTGGGAAAGCAACAATTATGCACAGCCTTGCTAGAAGGATGTGGGGCATTGGTTTGGAGTATCTGTAAAGCCTCCTTTCTTGCCCTCCTTTTATGAAAGTAACTTGCTCTTTTTGCTCATAGTTTGTCGTTACTTGTTTGAGAAATCATTTGTTTAGCATCTGGATTAATTTTGTTCGTACTTCCCAACTGATCATTCAGGCTCTAGAAATAAAAGTCCTTGTTGGGTTTGGTGGCGAGCACCTTTGATCCCAGCACTCGGGAAGCAGAGGCAGTAGGGTCTCTGAAGTTTGAGGCCAGCCTGATCTACGTAGTTCCAAGACAACCAAGGCTATGTTGAGAGATCCTGTCTCCAAAAAAAAAAGTCCTGAGTCGTCTTTTTTCTCCTTCTATTTATTTATTTGTTTGTTTGTTTGTTTGTTGCTAGTGTTGCCAGGAAGGAGGGTTTTGCTAACTGCATTCTCATGGGCAGAAACAAACGATGTGGCCTGGTCCTAAGGAACTGAAACCAACGTGTCCTTTTCCTTAGGCCTCCTATACTTGTGATGTGATTAATGTTGACAAGACATGGCACCATTTGCCCAAGAGGGTAAAGGTTCCAAATTCATGAAAAGGATTCTCAGCCTTTAACTTAATGAGAAGAAAGGATAAGTTTGAGAATGAGTTCTTATTTCTGTTCATTTCCTTTGCAATTTGATTCCTAAGGAGGAAGAAGAGGAAGGCAGTCCCTGAGTGGTTTCTTTACAGTACTTTCATTTGAAGAGTAAGAGATGGAACCTGAAGAAGAAAGGATTCGTTACAGCCAGAGATTGGTTAGTATTTTCATCTCTCTTCTTTTGGAAGTAGTTATTTTAGATGGCTTTGCTGTGTGCCAAAGGAGGGGTGAAGGTATAATATTATCTTGTGTTTTTTTGTATAGTAGTTAGAATCTTAATTCATCCTGTTTTGAAATGGAGTTACAGCCTAAACTTTTATAGAAATCATTGCATATATTGCAAATCAAAGGTTTTTGTGGATTGCAACTTGACTAATATTAATGTGGAATACTGATATTGTTGTAAATTTAATTGAATACATTACATTAAAATGTAAATTTTAGGAACAAACCAAAGAAGGCTAGTTTTATTAAATATATTAGTATTACTTGACTATTAAAAGTTTGTAGTTTTTGAGCTGAGGTGTTTAATAATTAGCTTTTTTTTTTTTTGCTAAGTTACCAGTGGTTATTTTAATAAGTTAACAGTTTGTAAATTTGGAGGATTGTTGAGGGGATTGATTGAGAACAATACTGGATGCTGATAAAGTTCTGTGTCTTAATATTTTGGAAAGAATTTATGAGACATGTTACTGAAAGAAAATTTTGTCATACTTTGTAGGGATTAGCTTGTATGTGCATACGTGCACTTGGATATTTTTAGTTCTGCTTTCCTCTCAGGGTTGTCTCTATTGGAGTTTAAGAAATTGTGGGGTTTTTTTTCTCCTTAGTCATAGAGACCTTTATTAGTATTATTCACCATGTATTTGTTTTGAAGGTTTAAATATGTATTTGTAGAATGGAATAGGAGGAGAGCCACAAAATGGTATATGAAATCTGCCGAACTGAATGACTTAGACTATTAGTGAAGAATTTATGTGGTTTTATTTGGCTCTGTGTTTAGACTGTGTTTGGAAAAGTGAGTGAATAGTTCCCTAATCTATTTTCTGATGATCTTCACTCTTAGAGAAAACACTGTAGCTTTTTTTTTTTTAATTTGTTTTTTTGAGATACTTTATCACACTGTAGCCTGGGGTGACCTGGAATTTTTGACAGTCCTCTTTTCTCAATGTCATGAATGCTAGGGTTTCAGGTGTGAACTACTTTGCCTGCTTTCTTTTTGCTTTTTCTTTTGTTAATGTTGTTGTTAAAAAGGTTTGATGCGGAAGACTAGAGAGATGGCTCAGTGTTTAAGAGCATTTGCTGTTCTTGTAGAGGACCTGGTTTAATTTCCAGGATCACATGAAGACTCACAACTAACTGTAACTCCAGTTCCAGAGGCTCTGGTACCTTCTTCTGACCACTTGGGTACTAAGAAGGCAAAACACAGAAAATATAAATATCTAATTTTTAACGGTTTGACATGTATTGGCAAGTATATCTAACATATGTTTTGTTCTGGTCAGTTGTGTTTCAGGGATTTGTTTTATATCCCTAAATACATACCCATTTATAAGATTTTATGCTGGGTGGTGGTGGCACACACCTTAAATACTGCAGCACTTGGGAGGTAGAGAGAGGAAGATCTCTTGAGTTAGAGATCAACTTTGGTCTACAAGAGTGAGTTCCAGGACAGCCAGGGGAAATCTACCTACCTGCCTGCCTGCCTGCCTGCCCGTCCATAAGTAAATATTTGTACAATATATGCATAAAATCCTTTTTTTTTTTTTTCTTTTTCCCCTTGAGACTGGGTTTCTCTTGTGTGGTCCTGGCTGTTCTGGAACTCACTCTGTGGCCCAGGTTGGCTCTAACTCAGATCCACCTGTCTCTGCCTCCTGAGTGCTGGGATTAAAGGCATGTGCTACCACACCCAGTCAAATATTTGTCTATGAATACATATAGTTAAAATGAATTTACATGTCTGTCTGTCTCATGCATACAGATGCCACAGAGGCCAGAAAAAGGCTCTGGATTCCTGAAATTGGAGTACAGACTTTTGTGAGCCACTGTGTTGGTGTAGGTTTGTAGTGATCCTGCCTCTCCCACTATCTTGAGTGTTAGAATTAGAAGCACTATACTTGGGTTTTAAGTAAGATGAACTTTTTTTGTTTGTTTTGTTTTGTTTTGTTTTTCGAGACAGGATTTCTCTGGCTTTGGGGGCTGTCCTGGAACTAGCTCTTGTAGACAGGCTGGTCTCAAACTCACAGATCCGCCTGCCTCTGCCTCCTGAGTGCTGGGATTAAAGGTGTGTGTTACCACTGCCCGTCCTGATAAACTATTTTTAAGTGAAATTTAAGACAGGAAGGTTCATTTCCCAGCCACCACCCCATGGTGACTCACAACTGCTTGTAACTCTGGTTCCAGAGGTTCTGATGCCCTGTTAACATCTGCATGGGCTCTTGCATGCACATGCTACACAATACATGCTACACACACACACACACACACACACACACACACACACACACATACACACACACTAAATGTAAAAAAAAAATGAAAATACTGATTCTGTTTTTTCTTGTCCTTAAAGAGTTACAGATAAAGATAAAAGAAGTATCAGTGTGATAGGAAAAACGATTCATTGTTATTGACTAATAGCATACATTAGTTGAATGTGCAGTTGATTCTTTATGAGTTGCTAATTCAACCAGCCATGGTCCACTAACACTTAAATGTGTCTGTGTTGACCATGTACAGACATCTTTGTTAAGATTCCCATACAATTCAGTTAATGATTACAGTAATAGGTCATATAATAACATTGAAGACAAATATACTATGTGTATTGTGTACCTGTCATGAGTTAGCAGTGTAGTAAATTGTCTGTAGATTTGTGTAAGTATGCTCTATGATGTTAGCAGGATAGTGAAATTACCCACCTAAGGGTACATTCTCAATGTCTTGTTTTAAGAGTGTATCTCTGTCTTTAAGTGATGGAAAATGATTTGCTAATTTATTTTTCAGCAGCCTTTATGGTGTATTCTTTGATTGTGTTTCGTTTTTTTAAAGCAGGATTTCTCTGTCTTATTCTGGCTGTTGCTCTGTAGACCAGGCTGGCCTTAGATTCAGAGATCTGCCTGCACACTCCCCCCCCACCCACAAACACACCCATTGAAGGCTTGCACCACTACTGCCCAGCTAAGGTGGATTCTATGATTCCCTTTTACAGATTTGGAAACAGGCATACTGCCTGAAGTAATTTCTCCTGGGTTATCTAGCTAAGAAGGGACAGAGCTACAATTCAAAGATGAGTCTGGTTAAGCTCTACTAAACTGTTCAACTTTATTGGTGGTACTTTCTATGTTCTGATGATGAATGAATTTCAGGTATTTACCAAATTATCTTTCTCTTTCAGGAGATCCATTCAATTAAATGTTTGTTGAGCACTTATGCTGAGCCAGACACTTAAATTTTCAAATACTGTAGTGTCAGGTACTGCTGAACACTTTGATAAGTTATGAGGGTGATGAGATGCTTGTAGAGTTGGGAATGCTTTTTTAGATTGGGTTGTCAGTGAAAGATTCTCTGAGAGGATGGCATTTTATATTGAGACTTGAAGCTACTCTTGTGGAATTAGCTAATTCGAAGTCTTAAATAGGAATGAATGAGAAAGTATCAGTAACATTTAACCATGTATCAGACTGTATGCAAGGCTCTTAGGATAGAGTAATATGCAAAATATACATTGTTTGCCTTGGAATCTCTACTTTGGTTCAAACATTAAACAAACATATGTACTAGTTATAGTTATACAGAGGGCTACAAGGTAATCTAGCACATAGTCAGTGTATAATAGTGACCTAATCTAGTCTACACTTAGTAATGGGGTATCAGAAGACACTTTTGCTAAGAGTGTTTAATGTTGAGACCCGAAGGATGAGGTGAGAAAGATGTAACTAGCAAAATGGAGGAGTGATTATTGCACATACAAAAAAATCCTAAAGCTGGAAAGGATTTGACATTTTTGAGAGACCTCTCAAGCAATTAAATGCTAACTAAAAAGGTCAGTATAACTATAGAGATGTAAGTGAAGGAGTTAGACTATTGACAAAGTATTATGGATGTGGTGGGAAGACAGGGACTGAACAGAGTAATAATGTTTAGATTATGGTATCTGACTGAATTGCAGAAATGATTGGAGTTACTATACTTACACAAACCCAGGCAGAGTACAGGAATGAAAGCCACAAAGAAACCCTGCTGCAAAAACCCAACAACAACAACAAAAAAGGAATGAATGTAAAGGAGGTAGGTGTAGCTGAGTCTAGGTTTCCTCCTTTGTGGCTCATAGTGTAGTGCATTCATTAAGGCACACTGTTTTACCTTTGTTTGTTTTCTGAGACAGTTTCTCTGTATTGCTCTAGCTATCCTGGAATTCACTTTGTAGACCAGGCTGGTCTTGAACTCACAGAGATCTACCTGCCTTTGCCTCCTAATTACTGGGATTAAAGGTGTGTGCCACCATGTCAGACTGTTTCATTCTCTAAAGTCAATTTTCAGTAATTGTATATTGAAGGAAACCTCTTGGACCCTTGTTTTCCCTGTGCCTCAGGATATCTAACTGAATATAAGATGGAAAATTCAAGTTTTGTCTATTTAGTATATTCCTGCAGCCAAGTATGATTCTTTTTCATGGCATATACATAACATGGTACCATTTATATCAACTCTCATATTGCTGGCTGGTTAACTGAATACACCAAGGTCAAACTATAATGTAACACAATTAATTTAATTTGTTCCCTGGTAAAGTGCTTGGTGCTAATGCTATAATTATCAAGAGAGTAGTTGTCAGAAAAGAGTCAAAGGGAAGGGGAGTGCCATGGAATGATAATTTGTTGTCTTTTGCTTCATTTCTGAACATTAGAGAAAGAGACTGTTCATGTTCTTCGAACCTTTGAGTTACTTTTGTCTGTTACTGTGTTCAGTTTACTGTCATAATTAGTTTGGTTACCCTGGTTCCTTGATGCTGGAAAATTTTTCCCTGGATAGCAGACAGGCATGACTGAAGTATAAGACAACCTGAAGATATTAATATGGTAGTCTTTTGGTCTTGCATAGCTGAATGCTAGTCTACCAAGATCTTTCCTTTGTACTTTAAAGGAGAAAACATTG